TTTTTATTTTGTTATTAACAAAACAAAATGAGGGGGAGGGAGGGAAACATATGCAATACTCTTTGTAATACTTTAAGCAATAAAAAAATAAATAAAAACAAACAAAATAAAACAAAACAAAAAGCACAATGATAACACCTTTGATTAAAAACAAAGAAAGAACATCAAATGTCAAAAAATGTTGAAGAAAAATAAATAAAAGCCAATCTAGAAAGAAAACGGCCTTTCAGCTATAACCAGAAGCCGAAAAAGAGAATGTCAAAGGGAGCATGCGCCCTGGACGCTGACCTGCGGCGCCACCCATGACAGGGGCAGAGCCCTGTGTCCTCTCAGGAGTGGTTGAAGATCCCGGTCCCCACCCTGCGCTCCACCGGTCCACCTCCAGGGGCCCTTCCACCGTAACAAGGAAAAACCATCACAAAACCCAAGCCCCCCCCGCCAGTGTCATGGCTACGGTGTTGAATGATTCACAGCAGGAAAGGTCTCCCCGAGAAAGCAGCTGACCGGAAGTGTGGGAGGGTGGTCATTCTCGCTTACCTGTGTTTCTAAGTCTTTGTTTTCATCCAATCTTTGTTCCAGGATGGGTTTTACTTTCTCTTCCAGGTTAGGCAACTTCTGAAAAAGACAATCCCTCCGAATCACCCCCTGGAACGGTTGTTATAAGGCTGGCCAGCTCTTTCAGCCCACTTTGAAATCGAGCACTCCGCTTCATGCTTTTGTTCTGTGAACTGACGCCTTTTGCAACAAGGACGCTCTGGCCACCAAAGGGCTGAATTGTGTCTACGATATGGCCTAGCATAATGACACACAGGCCCTTTTAGAAAATATTTATTTGGGAAATGCAAAATACCCAAATTTCTAGCTTGTCTAGAATGTGTTGCGGCTCTTACACCACAAGGCATTTTAGCAGAAAACCAAGATACCAAGACTGAGCCCCAAAGCGCCAAGTTACCTGGGCCACACAGCCGCAGGGACCTGCAGTTCCTGAACCAGACGTTCTTTCTATAGCATCTGAACTCAGGCAGCAGAGTTTTCTAAGAGCAACTGGAGTCTGGAGGCTGCTGAGACCACACACAATTTGGAAGAGTGTTTACACCCCCTTCTTCCATTCATAAGAAACACACTGACCATGACTAAATTCACAACTTTCAAAAAAAATGCAAAAAAAACCTTGATGGTGAAATTAAGAAATTTGCTCATAGAATGGACTTCAAAAGGCTTTTAAAGTCCTTTCTCGTCTTAGTGTCAGAGGTAAAACCCAAATCCCCCAATTTCCAGAAGACATCCTATCTGCCTTGACACGAAAATGTTTAACTGACTTCTTTCTAAGGTTTCATCCAGAATTCTACTTGCAGGAATTTGTCTCCCAAAGCCTATCCAATCCCTGGAAGACGCTCAGCACCTGACTTTCCGGCGACCCCGCCAGGTCCACGGGGAGAGCCCTTCAGGCTGCACCGCTCAGAGCCCGGACTCACCTTCTCACAGACACTGGCCCAGCTTTTCCCGAGCGGCTCGGGGCAGGGCCCGCTCTCCCTCTGCTGAGCACGAGGCGCACTCCGCTGGTAGGACTCCATTTCCCTCTGGGGAAGCTGGATGCTTTTCGCCAGCTTGAATTCTGTCTTGGGGGCCCATGGCGGGGTCTCTTCCTTCTCACCATTCTGCTTGAAGAGGAGCCTCCCGTTGGCAATGACGATGGAGGTGAACCTCTTGATGTCTTCCGGAACCATCCTTGCCACCATGACAAACCTCTCCAGGTCATCCAGGCTGCTCTGGGCTTTGTCTGTCACAAGGACGTCCAGGGACCAGTGGCAGCCCTCCAGGCTCTCCTTGGTTTCCAGCAGGATGTGGTAGGAGTTGGAGATCGTCTGCAGCTGGTCCCTAATTCTGGCCTGAAGGCTACTGCTGGGGAGGTTCCCGGCGGCCCCACAGACTCCGCGGGCGAAATCCAGAAATTCTCTCAGGGACTCTGTGATGAGGTCGGCGGCCCTGCGGATGGCATCGATGTTGGCCTCCAGGGAGTCTCTGAGCCTCCAGTTCAAAAAATTCTGCTGGAGAGCCGTCGCCGTGCCCTTGGCCAAGGCCAGGTCCAAGGAGAACTCCTTCGCCGACTCCTCCGAGGAGGAGCTGCACGAGGAGTCGGTGGACATGGAGGAGCAGGAAGACGTGATGCTGGCCCTGTTGTCAGAGCTGTTCACGGACAGTCTGTCCGGCTCAGGGGAGGGCCAGGTGGCCTGTCTGGAGAGGCATGCGCAGTGAGGGTCCGTGGTCTCCCCTGAAGCCCCGTCGGCGTCCCCCGGCTCTTTTCCAGCCCGAGGGGCGCTGGGCACAGGGATAGGGATGTCATAGATGTTGGGCTTGGTGTTCTGCTGCTCCACTCGGGGAATCAGAAAGCTCAAAGGGACCTTGTAGCTGACACCCCCATCGGAAGGGCAGGTGGGGACTTCTGGAAGGCTGGGGTTCTGTACGGGCGCATTTCCACGCAGGTGTGGGGCGAGGGACCGCGCTCTGCTGTTCGGAGGACTGTGGAAACTGGACATGGATCTGGGGAGGGCGTGGGACCCCGATTCTTCCACAAAGCCGGTAACACAGGCATTTCTCACATTCGCTTTTGCTGGAGTCACTGGAGTGTCATAAATCCACTCTGATTTCTGGGGGTTTGGCAATGTTTTGAAGCAGGCTCTCCCCAGGGCCACTGTTGCTGTCACCGGAGCACTCTGTCGCTGTGGAGAACCGCGTAGTCACCAAGGTTAGTAGCAACGAAAAGAGTTGGCACCTCACTCGATACATGTGCAATGTGCATGCTGCCAAGGCCTGGGGCGCCGGGCCCTGTGCTGCGGCCGCTCCCTGCCCAAGCTGCTGCAGCGGCACCCCCTTACCACCCCTCCTCCCGCCATTGTCTCTCCAGGCCCTTCAAAGCCTGGCTCCACATTCCTGAGAGCCTCTCCTCCCGCTGCCATCACGCTCCCCTCACCTGCCCCACCTCCCTGTAGGTCCAGCTGCCAGGCTGCTTACTTTTCCCCGGACCCAGAATGGCCCCTTTATACCGAGATATTTACTTTTGCCCAAACTGTCCCCCTGCTCTAAATGCCTCCCAACCCTTCCTTTTCCATCTAACAAACTCCTATGCATCCCGCACGACACTGCTGAGAGGTCAGCCCTCCTGTATGGCCTTCCCTGATCACCTTAGGCGTTGAGTATCGACTGCAGACATGTGACAGGATCCAGGATCCACAGGGATGACACAGATCTCAGGTTAAGGCGTTTCCCCGACATACAAATCAAAACCCACTTAAACACAGCACGGCTCTGAGGCCTAAGATAATACGAAGCACTTCTCTAAGGCAGGCTGAGCTCCTACTCTGCCCAGCACCGCGCTGGGACCCTCCCAGGGGTCTCCATGCTCACCAGGAGTCTGCAAGGGACACGGAGGCTACAGAGGTGAGAGACTTATCCCCCCGCCATGGCCGCCCTGCTCCCGAACCACGGCAGCGAGGGGCTCCGAGAAATGAGGTCTGCCCTGAGGGACTGGCATGGCACGCCTTGGCCGAGCTAACACATGGCCCGGAGGCCTGCAGGTCTGCTGCACCGGATCTCAGCACCGGTCATACTTACGCTGGGCTGGCCGGCCGGGGCACCGCGTTCTGCCTTTCGGGGGCTGGCGGGGATGTCATATAACTGCTGCTTCCCCGGCTCCTGGGAAAGACCACAAAGCAGGACCACATGGGTTTTTCCTTCCTGAAGCCTAAGCCTTCGCAGCTCTCCCACACCCCTGCTTCTTCCAAACGCAAACACAGACCGCTGAGGATGTGGGGCCGGGGCCATGGAGCTCTGTGCTGGGTTTACGTGCTGCAGCCCCAGGAGCTCGGATGGGCTGAGACGTGAGGGGACTTGTCCTCTGATTACAGGAGGCATGCCTTACAAATTTGACGTACCAATTACAAACAAATAAGTTTTTTAAGAAATCTAAAATTTTATCCCCCAGAAGTAATCAATGCTAATATAACCAATGATGATGTTAATACCCTGATGTACAGAGTGGGGCAAAAGTAGGCTTACAGCCCTGACCGGTTTGCCTCGGTGAACTGAAAGGCCCCAGGTTCGATTCTGGTCAAGGGCATGTACCTTAGTTGCGGGCACATCCCCAGTAGAAGGTGTGCAGGAGGCAGCTGATCGATGTTTCTCTTTCATTGATGTTTCTAACTCTCTATCCCTCTCCCTTCCTCTCTGTAAAAAATCAATAAAATATATTTTTTAAAAAAGTAGGCTTACAACCCAGCCAGTATAGCTCAGTGATTGAGCATCAGCCTATGAACCAGAAGGTCACAGTTCGATTCCTGGTCAGGGCACATGCCTGGGTTGAGGGCTCAATCCCCAGTGTGGGGTGCACAGGAGGCAGCCAGTGGATGTATTTTTCTCATCATTCATGTTTCTATCTCTCCTTCTCTCTTCTTCTCTCAGAAATCAATAAAAACATACTTTTAAAATAAAGTTGGCAGACAGTTTTTCATATGGAAAATAATAATTAATACATAATAATACAAGGACAAACTCTTTTGTGTATTCACAACTGTAAACCTACTTTTGCTCCACCCTGTATACCTTTCAAAATATTATTCCTAAAATGCGTCTATGTCTACGCACATGTAAGCGTGTGTGCATAGATGTAAGTGTCTATTACAAAGGAGAAGCGGAAGTTTTAAAGTGTTCAGCTCTCGGTCATAACATTCTGAGCGGGTCTGGCTCCCTGGCGGGAGCTGGATTCTAAGTGGGGCCAGGAGCAGGCAGACACTCCGGAGGTCATCCCTGTGACCCCGAGAGGCCCCTGGGGGAGCAGGGCCAGGGCCAAGGCTCACCTTCAAGGCAGAGGGGCCGCGGCTCTGGGCGGGCACATCGTATAGAGTGAGCAACGAGGCCTGGGCCGGTCTGGGAATCGGGACGATGGCCTTGGGGAGAAAAAGAGCCGAGGGAAAGGCAAGGTCACCCGAGTGCTTCAACACACCACGCTCCCCCCTACCCCCCAGCTGTCCAGGGTGGTTCTGACTGCTGCTCCCCTGTGACCCCAGCCCCCTTGTGTTTAGGCTGCTGATGGTCGCAGGAGCTGCAGCATCACCTGCAGCAGCAAAGGACTTCCCTGCGTGCTTTCGGGTGGGAGGAGCCAGCTCAGCGATGCCCAGGGTTTCTTGGGAAACTGGGTGCAGATGGCAGTTGTTAAGGAGCATAGCTGAGAAGCATGGTCTGGAAAGGCTTAGGAGGGAGCTCCAGGAACTAGTGGGTCGGAGAGCGATTTCGCCGGGAGATCTCACCCTTCTCACTTGAAACACGAGATTCCCTTCTCTGAACTTAAACCAAAATCAGATACGTTCTTCATTTGGTGACTCTAACAAGTCAGGCCAGTGCACGGTATTAAGGAAGTTGGAATAAAAAGTAAAACACAGCTCAAGGCAGTGGTTTCCCAGGAGGAAGTGGCCAGGAGAAGGCGTGAGGGGCTTTGTTCTCGTACTTTTTTGTTTTGGTTTTAGTTTTGTTCTGTTTCTTGATCTGAATCCTGGTAACGGAGCTGTACCTTTAGGATTTGTAGGTTAAACTTCAATTTTAAAAAATGAATGCAAAGAGTAGACAGTGTTGCCGCAGAGTCAGGTAAATGCAGGTCGAAGGTGTGCGGGGGTCGCGTCCTGGTGTTGGCAGCAGGGACGCAGACAGACATGCAGACCAACAGGGACACTTTAATCTCAGTGTCCACTGGCCGTGTGGCCCTGGATGGCCCTCTCCCCTCCCTAGGAATCAGTTTCCTCATTTGTAAAATGAAGGGTAGTTCTATCCTAAGGGTCCACAGAGGCGCCTTCCAGCCATCGAGACGCCTGATGCTGACACAGTTCCTCTGCTGGACCGACGTGAGAAAAGTGGCGTCTCCACCATCTGGCTCATTGTTGGCCAGCCTGAACCTGGAGATCGCTGACCAGATGTAGGGGAGTCTGTGAGATGGGTCCCCTGGCCTTGTTCTAGCAGCGACCGCTTCTGCTCAGGGTGTGTTCCTGGGCAGCCTCCGATGCAGGGCTAACCACCGGATTACACAAGCGGGAGATGTCGGCTCTGTGGGTGGGGGGACTCCTAACTGGTTATCTGTCCCTGACTTCTGTTCCTTCCTTCTTGTGTAGAAGCAGCAGCAAAATTACTTAGAATCACCAAACAGTGCAATTGGAGGTGACCCTAGAAATGATCTGCCTGCAGCTCCCGTGACACAGAGGGAGAGAGAGAAGCGGGGAGGGGCGTTGTGACGTCTGTGATGGCCCAGGTGGGCAGGTCAACCAGGACTCCTGATCCCGAGCCCCACACGGGCTCTCCAAGACCCCCCAGCACAGAGGCAATAACAAGAGGGCGGTGGTGGTGGACAGGTGGCCGCGGAGGGAACCTCAGCAGGGATGAAAGGTAGAAAAGTTCCCCGGGGGTTTACGGGGTCCACCTCAAGAGGCCTGGCGAGGAGCCCCTGGTTTCTGAATTCCCCGTTGGCAGCTGTGGTTTCTGTCTGATTCTGCAGCCCACACGGGCCGGGGCTCTCACCGCGGACACTCTGCACTCAAGGACAAAGCTCAGAGCGCGTGCCCTGGCCCTTTCCTGTTGAGACAGCACACCCACCCTCCCCGTTCCACCAGGTGTCAGGCTAGAAGTGCAAGTCCACGGTTAGGAAGCCTTGTGTTGTGTCTGGTCGCTCCAACCATTCACAGCGTTCACGGGGCAGCGTGTTGGGTGTTAGGGACACAGGGTAACCTGCGGGCATCCCCGCTGTTTTCCTTTTGGGAAGGGGAAATGGCTTTCGTTTTTTCCCTTTCTTTTGTCTCTTTGAAAAGAAAAATTAACTTCAGCACAGGCCCCGTGCTTTTCCAGAGGCAGGTGGGCGTGCCAGGCCCCGTCCAGGCCGAGTTGCCCCGCTGTTCCAGGGGAGGACCTGGGTCCACCCCAGAGGCTGCTGCAGGGCCCAGCCAGCTTCTTGAGGGTTTGCAGCTGGTGCCCAAGGGCAGCTGTTCTGTGGGACAGCTGTCTGCTTCTCTGCCTGGCAGCTCAGGGAGTCAGAACATCTGAAGTATTCAAAGCCTTTTAAGGAGTCAGCACCTCCCTGTTTGCAGATGGTGCTGGGAGCCGGTGTGCGGAGGCCTGTGTCGCAAGCATGACGATCCTGGGTCCCCAGCACCTCCACGGGGAGTAGACGTTCCCGGACACCGGCCTTGTCAGGCCCTCTGCCCAGAGCTGTGCCAGGCGGACTGTCGCTGGAGCTGAACGCAGAGGCACGGTGGCAGGGAACATCGCCGTGGCTGCAGACCTTGCAAATCTGTTCTGTGTTCTCAGCACCTCATGAAGGCGCGGGCTTGGGGAAAACAGCGTATTTATTATCTTTCTCCTTTTTTGTTTTCATTCCTTCCCTTCTTTAATTTTTTTTTCACTCTGCATTTATTGGGTGCTTCTTTTTGTCTTTAAAAAAAACTCCCATTTAAAAAGAATTTCAGGTGTAATGAACACTCTGTGCTATAACACACATCAACTTCCTAATCTCTCAGTTCGTGAAATATTTACAGGTGCCCACTCCAGGCCGGCCACGGTCCTGGGCTGGGGACATAGGAGTGAGTAAAATAAAGGGCCCTGCTTAAGGCCCTCTTTCACTTTCTCCTCGGCCAATCCCACTTCCTAAGGGTAACCACTGGTGGTCTGCATTTTTTCCAATGTGTGAGCACACACCACACACACACACACCACACACACACACACACACACACACCACACACCACACACACACACACACACCCCACACACACCACACACAGCACACACACACCATACCATACACACCACACACATCAGACACACACACCAGACACACACACCAGACACACA